TCGGCTTGTACTTTCTTCACTTGAGAACAGATGATTGTGTGTAATAGAGCTGCTCGCTCCTTGAGGAAAAACGCATATTTATTGTTTTTAAATCTGTAGAGACGTAGAGCATGCCGAGGCACAATAACCGCTGGAGGGCAGAAAAATAAATATGTCCGCGTGTTTGAAACACAGGCAGGAAAGGGACCGGGCCCAAGCTGACCAGGGGGTCATACACTTACAAACACACACACAAAGACAGGAGCCGTGAGGTAGGAATGACGTAATCACCACTCAACCTTTATGCATGGGGCGCCGGCCGCAACATGGACTAAGAAAGAACATTATCATTCATCACGTTCCTATACCTGCCTAATTTTCCTTTCCTAGCTCAACAGATCAGGCCACTGAATTTACCCTTTGAGTTAAAACGGTTTCTGTTATTGCCATTTAGGAAAACCTGGTGACAATGCTGGCCGGTACGAGCGTTCCAGCACTGATTATGTGTCCCAGCGGGGCTGTAGAGCCGGTTCACACAGCGGGAGTGTAGTGGAGTGCCTGGGGGAGACGACAGCGAGTCAGACAATGACGGGAACACAGTGACAGTGCCTCGGCCAGAGGGTGAAATATGGCAGCAGAGGTGACAAACATGAGGGGAGGGAGGGTTCTGCATGAGAGACAGTGAGCAGAGATGGGCAAGGGAAGGACGAGAGGCTGGCTGAGAGAAGAAAGGAGAGGAGATGAGGAAGATGAGGGAAGTGACTAGAGATATGGGGAGAAGGCACAGTGGGGAGGAAAAGAGGCTGAACTATGTTGCCTGCAGCCTTGTGCGAGAACAGAGGAGGAGCTGGGTTCTCCAGTCATTGCTGACCTGTGGCTTACAAGAACAGCCTTTAGACACACAAAAGAAAAAAGAGATATGACAGATTGGGGTTGAGGCCTCTGGCAAAAATACACACAGCTGGCTTCCACTAACCTTTCATCACGATTAATACAACTTTCTTAGAGCCGAACTTAGTGGAAAAGCAAACGTGCCGATATTGTTGAACAGTTTTACAACAAAGTTCATACACTTACTTATTTCATACACTGACTATAGAAAATTAATTTACTCAATATAGGTAATATAATAAAGGTCAATTTACCTTTTAGCACTTAAAAGATGTCTCCTAAGACATCTTCTCAAATGTCTGAACTTTCCTCCAGAATCCCACCTGAATGCACCAAGCCTCAAAACACAACAGCCTTTGGTCTGAACTGCGTTATGACCATTGACAGTATGAAACAACTTAATATCTACAAGTTGACTTTCATACTGTGACCTGAACTTAATACTAATATTTGGCCACATTTTTAATAAAGTAAATTCAAATTAGTGAAATCAATTAAGTGTATAACTAACAATTCTTGTCATTAGTGATTCATCTACAGATTGTTTTTCCAATTACTTAATTGTTTGGTCTACAAAACGTCAGAAAATAGTGAATAATGGCTGTCACAAACTCCTGAAGCCCAATTTATAGCTTTTTTTTAATTAACTCTCTGAAACCCAAATATTCAACTTACATCACATTAGACAAGAATAGCAGAGAATCCTCTCAATTAAAAAGCTGGAAATTGGGAATCTTACGCATTTTTGGGACAGAAAATGACAAACATACATTTTGTCAGCTGACTAATTGATGAATTGTTCTAGCTATAGAATAATATATATAAAAAAAACACACTTTTCTGTTCAGACAACTTTTTTACTTCCATTAGGACTCCAGTCTAAACCAGCCAGGCACCGTCCTATGTGCTCCAGTAAAGTAGTTTGAGACTAAAGCCCTGTACAGGATATGACTATAGAGGGTCCCAGACTGAGAGGATCAGTCCCTCAATATACCCTCCTCAGGGCAACTTATGAGCTAGAGACCACAGCGACCCCGGTGAAGGAAATTGGCATTAGAGCAAATTAAAAAAAAAAAAAACACACAAAGAAGTGGAGGAAGAAAGTAACAGGCAGCTGAGTGAGGCACTGCCAGGAGAGGAAGGACCGGGCGAGAGGTAAGCAGAACTAAGAGGATGAAAGCTGAATTATGGGAGGTTTGTTAACTTTGTCCGTGCTGAGCCTGAGCTGCATAGGGCAGCAGGTTGTGTCTTGTCAGTGGAACAGTCTTGACACATTGCAGGAAACTTATATTGTTCTGTACAAGCTGTTTCCCCCTAATAATAAGAGAAAGGACTGGACAAGCCTTAAGAGGGGGGGGGGGCATTTACTGAGAGACAAATAGCTCTAAACGGTGAGAAAGTACCCAGCAAAAAACAAACTAATAAATACTGTGGGAGAAACACTAGGGGTTATCAATCATCCTTCAGCACCCGGCTTTCTGGCAGGTTCTTGGCTGCTGGCGCTCGGATCTCAAAGAAAGGCCTGGTGCTCCGCTACACTGCACTAGACTGTATGGAAAGACTCAGGCACGTATACCTAAGAGCCACTTCAACTAATCTGATCAAACCAACAAATACTCGAGCCAGATGTATTTGTTCGCCTGAGAGACACTTATGGAGATGAATGAGCATTACTATGACGCTTACCATTTGCAATGATTACATTTATATGCACACAAGAAACCAGATTACTGAGATAAATCAGTCAAGGCAGGAAACCCGTTTACAATAGAATCAGATGTCACCCCGTGTTTTCTTGCAAAATCCGTGGATAAATTTAAACATAGCAAGTGAACATTTCATTGACTGCATATCTGTATTTAAACACTGCAAAAAACTACTTATTTAATGGTTCACTTGATAACAGGAAAACCAATACAGTTTCAGTTGTAGCCTGGACTAATTTCCTGATGAAGAAGCACAGTTATGAGAGGCGACACATCCTGCTCCATGAGTGGTTCCCTGTCCTGGTATTTATACACATTCACATGTAAACGAACATTCAGAAATCAGATTCATCTTAATCCCTTTGCCCGATAGTGAAACCTTTTTTTTTTTTTTTTTTAAACCAGTGCACCATACTTATTTTTACAAACACAGATGAAGATAAAAGTTGTGTGTGACCAAACAGGAGATAATAAGCCCTCTTTAGGGACACATGATGCCATTTCTAAATGTGGGGCAGATATCTTAAGATAGATTAACCCTCTGTATTTCCTGACAGTAATGGCTTTACCAGAAACTCATTAGACACAGTCAAACTAAGTTTCAACTGTTTTGTGTGATACCAGTATAAAAAAAAGACAGTTTAGAAATAAAAATGTCGTCTTCATTGCTCTACTATAGAGTTGTCCCTGTGTGCGCACACTCAGACTGTTGGCTACACTTTTACAGTAAATGATGTCTAACAGTGAATAGAATGAAAAGCAAAACATAAAGAGAATTAAATCTAAGAGTTACACCAAAACTATAATCAAGAAGTCAGACAAACAACAAGCTTGGGGGCTTGATGTAGATTGGGGCGGGGGTCAATGGTGGCAGGAAACATGGTTTTGTTCATCTCAAGTACCAGAGGAACACTCAATGGTTCGAGGAAGGTCACAACACAAAACAACTCTACAGAGCACAATTCAATTGGTAGGTCCTGTAAGGACAAGCAGTGGAAGAATTTCACCTTGGATGCTGCTGGACCAACTTGCACAAAAGCTCAAGTACATTAGGAAATTCACGTAGAAACAGCGACCAAATCATCTGAAGTTGCTGCATCAGCAAATTCAAGAATGAGACTGTAGGAGCCCTGAACAAAGAAAACTCGGTGCTGAAGAGAACAGAGTTGAGCTGGACTCCGGTCAGCCTGACGCCCTGCCAGACCACCGGCTCCGAGTCCTGAATGAGAGGCAGGTGGGAGGTCTGGGCACGCACGGGCAGGTGGGGAGACAGGCTGACTTCCAATTAAAAACTGAGTAAAGTGGGCTGAGCTGAATAAAGTCATTTGCAACAACAGCCCATACACTGCCTGCATTTTTCCTGAATTAGGACGCCAACAAATTACTATTTTCCATCATCAGTCTGACAATTACTTTCTTGATTAACTGTTTCGCCTAAAAACTCCAAAGATTACATTTATAATCATATAATAAAATAAGCAAATCACCACATTTGAGAAGCTGGAGCCAAAGAATGTTTGGGTGTAAAAAAAAATACCCAAATAGTTAATGAAACATTAACATATATATCAGACATAAAGCACAGCACAAGCATGTGAATCTAAATTATTATTATTCAAATTACATTTTTAAAGTTTTAGGTGTTTACTTTGGTGCTAAACAAATAATATCTAACAAAATAGTGATGTAGTATTATTGTTAATTATATATTATAGTACCGTAGAGGAGTAACACAGAAGCAGGAAAATCCTATTAACTCCTCTTGCATGAGAGGTTATCAGCTGAACATGTTGCAGTGAGGTGTATGTGTGTTGTATTGCCACTACTGTGTCCTCTCCCTTCTGGACAGCAGGAAGCTGAGGAGCGTGCAGGCAGACACACACTTGGTTCTGTTCCAGCAGGAAGTATCTGGGACGGGTTGAGACTGGATGAGATGTGCTGCCTCTATATTATATACAACACTCTTTTCCTACGTTTGTCCCTCCTACTGTTTCCGCTCTTATGTTGTCCCTCCCTGTACTTTTGAACAATCTGGCAGTGTCATCAAAAACACCAAATGTAAGCTACACATCACTGCAATTAAACAGGGAAGTAAAGTAAATGTGTGCTGAAGGCACAAAACACGGATCTCTGACACAACCAGGCTGCCAGTAAGGATGGGTACGTGATTTTGCTTTATTAGTTTAGTGTCTTATTCAAAGATCCACTTTCTGATGGATAAACCATACAACTCTAGATGGGACAAAAATAAACACATAACACGCTTCAAACATCCCCAACATCCTGACAAGTGCTTAGACATTCCAGCTTATTCACTGTGCCAAGAATCAAATCTAGGGGAAAGATGACTGGATAGACTGTATATAGAGAACAGTGGACAGCCAAAGTGTGTGTGTGTGTGTGTGTGTGTGTAATGAAACCCACCCTCCTCTTCAGGCGATCCCTCTCCCTCAGTGTCAGTGTGTCAGCCTTGGCTATAACAGGGACTATGTTGACTTTGCTGTGGATGGCCTTCATGAATTCAACATCCAGAGGCTTTAGACTAGCGAGCAAAATGATAAAAAAAAAGAAAGAAAACAACATAAAACACAAAACACAATTAGGACACAGTTGAAAACAGAGGATAAAGGACACAGAGGAGGAGAGTAAAACACAAAGAGATCGGGGGAAAGTAGCGGAGCAAGACGGACACAGGAGATTATATAATGTAAGATTAAGTCATGCAACACTGCTTAGTTTAAGTAACTGATTACATTAACTTAAATATAGACAAAGAACTACAGTTCAGATGAAATTCACCCCTTTTCACCACCTCATTGGACCTTTAGGCTAGCTAACTAGCTCTCCCTTGTTGGCATTAATTTCACCCCATTTTGCTGATGGGTGTTACAGTGTGGTGAATGTAAACTGCTCATAATTAAAATACACACATACTACAGTGCGCTTCAGAAGGGAGATCAGATCTACTTCTGAGTAAACAACAATATATATATACATATATATACACACATATATACAGATATACATTAACTTCAGTTCACTGTTGGTGTCTGTGTGTGTGTGTGTGTCTAATTACCCGTGTCCGAATGGTGATATGAAATAAAAGCAGCAGTGCACCCTGTTGTCCACTATGTGCCTTCGGTTCAGCCCGCTCTCATCGTGGAGGTATCGCTCAAACTGATTGTCAATGTACTGGATGATGGTCTTGAAGCTGAAATCAGAGAGAGACACACATTAACCTCTTTAAACACACCAAACAACCATGTAAACACTAGTTTACCACCAGCACTGAGAATGATGATGAATGTCAGTTTTAAGTATAGGTCTAGGATCATCTTCACCGCCTGTAGTGTAGCTTTACGTGTCAGGAGATATCTGTCACTGTTGCACAATTCTGTACCTCCAGAAGTGTGATAGATTGATAGTTTCAGTTAAAAGGACGTCTGGACTATAAGACTCACTTTTTAAAAACTATATAAGCTGTTTTCACTTTTTTTGCTGACTGATGACTGATTAGCTGGTGTGATAAAAGTTTTAACTGATGATGTTTTGTTGTAAAAACACCTCCATAGTTCTTTAAATGTGTTAAAATGTACCAGACTTCAGTGCTCTCTGGTCAGTTAAGGAGCCTATAATGCCTCATCGAACTGTGCTCAATTTATTTACTTTTATATTCTTTTAATAGTGTAATTATTGAGGTGACAAATTCTGCAGAGAGAAAATAAAAGCGAGGTGTTTCTGTTATTTCATCTCTCTTGCAGTTGTGTCCTTTTTAATAGCCTTTGTGGGAGAGTATGTAGGTCCGGGAGTGTAGAAATACATCAATGCGAGGGCAATGAACAGGAAAAAGGACGGAGAGACGACACTGACACCACAAGCATGAGGATGCAACACAAGCAAACACACACACACAGTTTAAAGAAATGTAGACATAGGGAATGCAGAGGGAGGAGAGGTAGGAAATAGGGAGTTTGGGATGAAAGTTGAGAAAGGGAGTAGTTGAGGACAGGAGGGAAGGATGAGAAAGCACGCTAGACAGGAAATATGTCCTAAGCTTTTATCACTCCCTTCTCTTTTCACGGCACATAAACACACCAGTCCTGGCTGTTGATGGCGTCGCCGTATCCAGGGGTGTCAACCACGGTGAGGCGAAGCTTCACTCCTCTCTCCTCGATCTCCACAGTCGATGCCTCAATCTGCACCGTCCTCTCAATTTTCTCTGGCAAGTGGAAGAACAGGAATAATAAATGGGTGGCGTAACAGAAGAGACAACCTCAGTACCTGGATTCATAACATTAATATAAAAAAATCCTGCCTGAACTACGTGCTTACACAAGCCACTGAGCTGCCACAACCGCAGGCGTCTCGAAGGTGGATACGCCTTAAAAAATGAAATCATGGGTTTTGTCATCTAAAAGGGTAATGTATTTTCTTACATGCACAAACTGACCGAGGAGGGCACGGATAAATGTTTTCAAGCCAGAACAAGTCCTAACCTAAGTCAAGTGATAAGCAGGGCAGGGTCATATTTTGAGACTAAGACATTCCCAACATTCCTCTTGAAATAATGCTCTGCAGGAGACATTGCAGCAGACATTTCTCTATTATTACTGTGTGTGTGTGTGTTCTGGGGAGTATACCTGCAGCACCAGGGATGTAGCGCTCGGGGTAGAGGTCAGTGAGAAACAGGCTGTTTATAAGTGTCGATTTGCCCAAACCAGACTCCCCTGAAAAAAACCAAAGAGACTGTAAAATACAGCTCTATTCTCTATAGATACGAATACAGTCCACATTAAAAGAAAAGAGTGATCACTCACCTACAACCATTAGGGTAAATTCAAACCCTTTTTTCACTGATTTTCTGTGCACTTGGTTTGGGAGGTTGGCAAACCCGACATAACCTGTTGCATCTGGGAACTGTGGAGCACAAAAAGACAATCAAATTGTTCAGAATTAGGGTCAGAAACTGAAAATAATAAGGAAATATTGAAGTAGTAAGTATAGTACATATGTATTGACTCATATTAAAGGGATTAACAATTATGTGATTTTAGTGTTACATGATTTCTTACGTTTTACTACTCTAACCAACTACTGCCTAACATTACGAGGTGTAAACATACAAGGTGAGTGTGTAAGAGTGAGACTGACGGTGATGCATATTATTGAGAAATTCCGACAAGCAATAAAGCCTCGCCATGAAACACTTGCATTTATACAGGATATCCTCTCTGGATGCCTGTGAAAGCGTGCGTGGATGAGATTACAAGTGCCATGAGTCTTAATCACCACATATTAGAAACCCCTCCTGTAGTTAAGAGTAAAAACTGTAATGTGTTACTTACCTTCCCTTTCTCTCCAGATTGAGACATTGCTGCTGGTCACTGGATGTCTGACGAGCCTGCTGGTGGAAAAACAAAAAGAAACAAACTCAAAGAGGTTAATGAAAACAGAAACTCTTTATTAGTATTATCTTCATGTGGCTAAATATTTTTTACATAACTCCACCTTGGGATATCTATGTTGTAACTCTGCACATTAAGTCCACGTTGAAACGTTCGTTCAGGCTGACGACTACACTGTTTTTTCACACTATCACACGGAAGGAGAACAGATTAAGAGCTCTGGGCAACAGGTTAGTTCCCAGACTCCCATTAAACCGTTACAGTCTTGTGCTCCTGCCCCGCTCTATGACTCTGGGCAGACGACAAGGCAACAAACCAGCTTGATAAATCAGCTACATAATGACTGAGCCGGAAGAACAGGCTCCATTTTATCACCGACACACTGGCCCTTGACAGGTGGAGTGTGATAAGCATTAGAGAGAGGCCGGCTGCCGTGCGCTGCCAAACGAGGATGCACTCTGATTATGTAATGTTAGGTTGGTGGAAACGAGGCGGCCTGGGAATCTGGAACTGACCTTTCTCCAACGACATGCGACAAACACACATTAGAGGACACTTGGGGAAACATCTCACACTGTTGAATCAATTAGATGGTAGTTGTGGGGGGGGGCTGTATCTACATGAAAGTGGGCAGAGATCTCTCATACTGACAGGGTGGTTTCACCGAGCCGGCAGGGAGAACAATGGTTGTTTATCCCTCTGGTTCCTGAAGCCTTTCCTATACAGGGCAGCTCAGCTGGGGCAGGAGGGAGAACACGTGCCTCACCCCTGACCACATTCAGGACCGACCACAGCAAGGGGAGACACCGATACCTGAAGGTAGAGGAGTGCCAGCTCATGAGGGGCTTTGTCTGGGGATTCATCATTTAAAACAGGGGCAAAAAAAGCACAGAAATTAAAAAATGAGCACCCAACATGAATTAGATTGTAGATATTGAAGACCAGAAGAGTTTTAGGAAGCTAATTTAACTCGAGCTGAAACGGTTAGTCAGTTAATCGCTTGGAATAATTGGAAACTATTTTAATAATCTATTTATTAAAGTCATTTTTAAAGCAAAATACCAAACAGGTACAGGTACTAGCTTTACAAATGTGAATATTTGCTGGCTTTATTAATCATCCGTGACAGTAAATGAATAATTTGGGGCTTGGGATGATCGGACCGGTCAAAACAAGTGTGATGGACAGTCTACAGACCAAATGATTCATTGTCTAGTTGAGGAAATAATCTGCCACTAGTGTGGTTTAATCATTAGTTTGAGCTCTAACGGAACAAAGACAACAATAAATGCACTTTCATTGTTAATGAACATCTAAATGTAGTGGCGTGTCTCACACACACACACACA